GGTGGGGAGGTTGGATTTTTTTTTTTCTTGTTTTTAGGTGGTTGTTTTTTTTTAATTTTTAACGCAGCTGCTGTTTGTTTTCATGTTATAAACGCCTCAGAGGCTCGCTGGCCTGTGATCGAGGCGCCTCCGGCTGCGAAGGTGATTCATGGGCGCCTGACAGGAGAAAATGGATAGCAAATTAAAAGTCTCTCTTTTGGGGGGGGTGTGTTTTCGATTTGTTATTTGGGCTTCATTTACGAACTCACGTGATAACCTAGGCTCTAAAAAGCCTTGTGCAATCATTCTCTGTTTTGTTTAATTTTTTCCCCAGCTTGCTTCAGCCCATTTTCCAGTTAAAATGCAAAAGGAAGCTGTCGGTCTGGCGTAAGAACACAGAGATGAGCGCTGGTCTGTGTTTATAGATATTTCAAATAAGTGGGTGTAAGTTCCTCTCCCCACCTTTCCCAGCTGTGCTGAGGAAGGCAGCTTTTCTCTGTCAGATTATCTACTTGGCTGGGATTATTTTTGTGCCGCTCAATGAGGTTCCTGCGAGTCAAAATCCATGATATATTAAAAGTGTGTTAAGTTCAGCGTTTGCCACTGCCGTAGCTGACCTTCCTGAGGAAGGCCTCAGTCACTCCCAGCTCAGCCCTCGAACTGCTCCATCGCAGACAGACGGTGCCTGCGAGAGGCTTCTCTCCTGCCACGAGCCTCACTTATTCCAGGCTCCAGGCGGCATCTGACCAGCTTGTGCAAATCTGAGAAAAAACCTGTTGACTTTAATAATTCTTGTAAATCCTTGAAACTGTGCAGCAGGTTTTGGGCAGTGCAGTAGTTTTGCAGCTTGGCTTTTTAACAGTGGAGTATGAAGAAGCCCCGCGTTCCAGTTTACGTACGCAGGCCAACAAAACCCTGACCCCCACCACGCCATTGGAAAAACACTTTTGTCGGGTTAGTTTGTCATGGCAGGGGGTATCTGTAAGCTGCAGAAGGGTCTCTTGGCGTATAGAATCACAGAATGCCTTAGGTTGGAAGGGACCTTAAAGATCACCTAGTTCCACCCCCCCTGCCATGGGCAGGGACACCTCCCACTAGAGCAGGTTGCTCAAAGCCCCATCCAGCCTGGCCTTGATGTCAGGGGATGGGGCATCCACAGCTTCTCTGGGCAACCTCTTCCGGTGAATATACGTTGCCGCTGGGTGGCTGCACTGCCAGGTTGGCCAGAAGAAGCTCCTGGAGGTCTCCAGCCTGGCTGCCACCCCCAAGCCGGACTACGGCAGACACCGGAACGGGTCAGCCACGGTTTCGCCTCGCAGTGCTGCTTCCGCGGCCCCGCCGCCCGACCGGAGGTAGGACCCCGCCTCCTCCCGGCCTGCAGGGGGCGCGCCAGGCCCGCCCTGCCCCACCGGAAGGAGGCCCGCGCCACGCCCACCCAGCATCCAGGCGTCCTATTGGCTGCGCTGGTTGCTGCGCAGACGGTCAGGTGGGGGGGGTGGAGGCGGAGGCAGCAGAGCTATGGCGGATCGGTTAACGCAGCTGCAGGACGCGGTGAATTCGGTGAGGCGGGCGCTGGTCTCTGCTCTTCCCCAACATCCGTCGTTCTTCTTATCGGCGGGGAGGGAAGGCCGGCGGTGGGTCACGGCTCCTTCTGTCCCCGTGGTCCCTCCTGTCCCTGTGGCCGGGCCTGGCCCGGACCGGTCTGGCTGTTGTTGGCCGTTGCGCGTATGGGGGGTGCGATCCCTCTCCCCGCCCCGCGGTCCCCCGCCCGCAGCCCCGGGGACCATCGCCGCTGACGGTCACGGGTTGCCAGGGTGTGCGCTCACCTGACGTCGGGGTGGGCTGCGGCGTGGGGTCCGCTGGGATGCAAAATTCTGAAACGGCTTTAGCAGTGAAATAAATTATTGATCTCTTTACTGCTTGCAGCTCGCAGACCAGTTCTGTAATGCCATTGGGGTGTTGCAGCAGTGTGGGCCCCCAGCCTCCTTCAGCAACATTCAGACAGCAATAAACAAAGATCAGCCTGCTAATCCAACAGAAGGCAAGTCTTTCTGCATCTCCTAACAAAATGTGAACGTGTTCTGGTATAGTATGCTCTATAGTACAAAATCTGTACTCTATTTGGTGCTCAGCAAACAATTCCACCAGTAACTGGGGGAGTGATTGAAGTTAAGTCATGAATTGATGTCAGCTGTACTTGCTTCATAAGATTGTGATAGCAGAAATCTCATTTTAAGTGTTAAGTAACAGTTACATTGTATTTCTTCTGCTGGTTTGTTTGCATTCACACAGTAGCTCTGCAGATATAAACCATTTTAATAGATCTTCTGCAAGAGGTTGTTAGTGAGATGCCCATTGCTTCCAAGAAGTATTTTTAGAAAGAATTAGTGTTGGTTTTATGAAATCATGTATGAGTTTAAAATTCTACATATCATAAACTTTTAATTATTTGTGTTTCTCCACATATCATTTGCTTATTTCTCTAGACGTTTCTGTTTGTGTTGTTGGCTGTTTTGTTTTTGTTTGGTTTTTTTTTTTGAGAGGAAAGGAACTGATCTGAGACACTGAAATTGGCAAGCAAACTAAAATTTCTCATTGACTTGAGAATTTCAAGTTAGTATTTAAGTAACCATGCTATTCTAATCCTGAATCTTTTTTATTCTTTTCTTTTTTTTTTTGCACTTTTTTCCTTGCCCCTGAGAAAATTTTACATGTATCTTGTATCAGATTAGGTTTGTCTATTAGGATATCAGGGGAGACTGTTTTGGGGTGCAGCGATGCACTTTCTAGGATGGTTGAATACTAGTTCTTCATTGGTCTGCAGTGGTTTGTTCTCTGATACTGGAATAAGTTGGAAGAGCCAACTGAAAGGCTTGTTTGCTTCCTCATCTTACCTCCTGCTGTCCCACGTGCCGGCATCAGTGGGGTGCCAGGAGCTAGAGGCTTTGCTAAGGTTTTAAAATGGTAGATCATGACTGACTTCTCTTTTGATTTGTCTCTGAATATAGTGACTTCAGTAAAATCGTACTGCCAAGTTAATTTGCTGATGAGGCAAACCAAAACTATCAGTTACTGGTCTTTAGATATTTAAAGTTTTAAAAAGAAGGCCTTAAAACTCTTTACAAGTAAACCCTGTGGTGACCCTGAGTAAGCTTTAAATGGAGATGTTAGTTTTGTTGTTATGTTTGGGTTTTTTTAAGTTAAGTGTACCTTTGAGAATGTCAATCCCTTCTATAGATTTTTGCCATTAGAAAGTATTTTCTCTCTTGCTTCCACAAATCTTTCATGAACCAATCATCATAAACAAGTAAGATCTTAAATTATAAATTGAAAAGGGCTGTTTCAATATTTTAGCAGTAGTAATGAACTTAATTCAAATTAAATGGATGCAATTCCATATGGAAGGGTTTTGTTTCTGGCTTATGGGGCCTTTTATTAAAAATCCATGCAGTTCTTTCAATGATATAGCAGCTAAATTAAGGTCTTTTATAAATTTTCAATTCTTTTCAATTTCTCAGAGGCCATTTAACTGGTTCTGTGGCTGAATAGGAATTCTTTTTTTTTTTTTAATTGAAAAACCTCAAATTCTTTTACTAGCGATCTGTTGCTTAACATGATTTAAATAATTCATCTATTTGAAACACTGTCTTTACATTGCTTCTAGTGTTCTTTTTTTTTGTCTGGCGGCAGATTTCAAGGCAAGGATTGAAAAGTTAAATGAGTTTCTAGCTGCTTCTCAATACTTACCGTAGCGACTAGAACATTTACTGCTGGTATTAGTAATTTCTTAACTGGCTAACCGCGATGGAGTTCTAGGTGTTTTCTCATTTGTACAAAGCCAAGCACTTTGTGTAACTAGTTACCTTGTTTAATCTAGGATTGGAATCAAACTACCTTCATCTTCTAATATGGTTGAGTTCTCATCAGTTGTGATACTGTTGTTTTCTTCATGTGGGAGAATTTTTAACACCTGCATACTTAAAGTCGGTAGAATTTTCTGTTCTGTGAATGCAGAATTGTGCTTGTTTCTAATAATGTACTGAGTGGGCTCACTTTTCTGTTTTAAAGAGTACGCCCAACTGTTCGCAGCATTGATTGCACGAACTGCAAAAGATATTGATGTTCTAATAGACTCCCTGCCTAGTGAAGAATCGACAGCAGCTTTGCAGGTAAGAGTGTTATTAATTAAAATATCAAAACATAACTGAAGGCAAACTTCTTCCTTTTTTTAAACATGCTTTTTACTCTCTAGGCCATGTAATCTTGAAAAACGATTTTAATATAAGCCTGAATTTTTCATGAGGGTAGCATGTGAGTAATTTATAGGCTTAGTGGAAATACTGAACTTGCATCTAGTTTTAAATAAGATTAAACACAGTGAGAACATCTAAAACTTTTCTGTTAGTGTTTAAAAAAAAAAGTGTTTTTATCATAATACTGGAAACTGCTGCCCCTTTTTTTTTCCCCAGCTGTTCAAATATTAATAGAACAGATGCAACAGTGCTGATGCATTGTGAGGGTTTTGTTGGGGTTTTTCCCTTGGATGATCTTTCATATTCTCTTGGTCATTAGAAGCGTGTTTTGTTTTGTAGCTGCAGAGCCAACACTTTACTGAAACCTCTTGTCCTTCTACAATGTTTCTGGCTGTTAAAGGGTTTGCAGGGTATCCTCTAAGTTCTCCAGCTCTGTCACAAAACAGTTCTTTCACTTTTCAGTAATAGGGGCCAGCCAGACAAAGTGGGTGCTTTTGTTTCTTGCTCCTTCTCTCTTTAGAGCACAGGTACTCTAGGCAGAGCTTGAGAACAGAAAGCAACTACTGGCCAGGCAGCTATTAGCAGCTGCAGCCAGTATCACAACCTCCATTCCATTCCCTGCTTTACAGGAGCTGAACTGCTGCAAACAGCTGTCACAATGCTCAACTGTTTCTCATGTCCAAAACATGCTTTTGACCCACAAGTCAAAGAACACTGCTGTTTTTTTTCCCCGTTCTTTCTACAGATCTAGCCTATTAAATTGCATCTTCTTTCCTTTTTTTTTTCTTTCTTACTCTAACTTCTAGATTTACATCAAGTATTTTCTTTTTAGAATGCAACAAGGATGCAAAGAGCGCTGTTTCTCTCAGAACCCTGGAACTGCTTTAAGATCACCTGAAGGTTTTACACCTGTGTTGGTCATCTGTGACTATTCAAAGGCATTTTACTAAAGACTAATACTAGAGGTGCCTGCTGGGCCAAATACAAATAACTTGACAGTGATACCACATTTGGTTTTAAACAGAGGAGGTTAAATTTGGAAATGTTGCTAGTCACAATAATTGCTGAACGTACTAATTGGGCATATTAACACCTGCATAATTTCATGTAACTGCATTTAATAGCTGAAGACAGCTTTGCTGCTGCAGACAAATTGCAAGCTTCTTCCATGACTGAGCAGGGTCTGGTCATAGTGATGGCTGATGCAGGGAAAGCAGGGTGATCCAGAAAGAAGATCTGGTTATCCAGCATGGGCATGCCTTCCTTAGAGGTGGTACTTGCCCTGTTTCTTGCTCTGTTCATGCAGAATCTCGTTTCACAAGAATTTCTGATCTTTTCTGTTTGGTGCAATTTTGAGATAAGTTAACTTGGATTCCATCACTTACTGAGTCTAGTTTTGATTTTGAGTTGCTGTCTTTTAATTTGGTGCGGTATTAAAGATAAATATTCAGACATTATTTAAAAAGACTGTTTTGAAGGTGCTTGAAATAATCTAAAATATGGATTATAGGTTTTGTAGAGAAGTGATAGATAGTTAGTTAATGGATATGTACTTAGGCTGATCAACTTTTTATACTAAGGTTGTCTTGGTACGTGTTTCAAATCTGTCTTAAATTATAAAAAGGGCTGCTACACTAATGCCCAACAGAAATTACCTGTGCCTTTTTAGTTCCCTTGTGGTGAAGTTGGTAGTACCTATTCCGATCAAATCTGCAGCTTACCTGCAGTCAAATATTTAGCAACTAAGACTGAGGTAATTAAGCTGGATTCTAAATGTCAGACTTTTACCTTGCGCTGTCTTCCTTATCTGACCTTCCTCCAAGGGCTATCAAGTCCTTCGTGTGTATATTAATCTTCACTAAAGACATCGTGTTGCAGAACAGAAGATAAATATGGGGATAGAATTTGCCCATTAGTTTAAGCATGACTTCTTAAGGACCTGTCTATAGACCTGGATAGCTGCTTTAAAAAAAATACCAATCTGAAGCTATTTTGTTTTGTCTTTTCTGTTATGAAGTTAGAACAAGTTTTAGTAATTTTAAATATGGTAAATATTTTAAAGTATTAAAATATTTTGGAGTAAAAATGTTTTATTTTACTAATCTTGTCTGACTGAAAAGCAGTTTGGTTCTGAAACAAAATATTGAAGAAAAAAAGGTTAAATAGTACAATTGCATCTGAATTACGCTATTTAACATAAAGGTTTAAATAAGTTATGCTTACTTCTTGCTAAGTACCTTTCAGTAAGGGAGTGAGGAGGGGGATAAATACTCACTTCTCATCAAGAAAAGCTGTACTAAGCCAAAAGTCGTAATATGAAAGAAATTAACTTCTCTATTTGGTGGGTTTTTTTGTGTTTACTCCACGTGGATATGCACTGTTTTAGGCTGCAACCTATAACGAGTTGCTTTGAAGTCGCTAGTATGTAATCAAGGGGCTAAAAAGAGAGTCTTTCTCTTTTCTAGGGAGCACTGTGGTCCATCACCATCCTTCAGTAGTGAAGTCAATTTTGTATTATATTTGCAGTTCCTCACTTTTCTCTCTTATTTTAAAGGCTGCTAGTCTGTATCGATTAGAAGAAGAAAATCATGAAGCAGCTGCCCGTCTGGAAGAGGTAGTTTATCGTGGGGATATGCTGCTGGAAAAGATACAGAGTGCCCTGGCCGATATCGCCCAGTCGCAGCTGAAGACGAGGAGCGGGACGCACAGCCAGTCCCTGCCAGACTCGTAGCGCCAGGGGGCAGCTTGCCCTTGCAAAACCGGACTGCCTCAAGCCGCGTTGGAAACGCAGCTCGGTGTCCACGGGGAGCTGTGACACCCAGCCCAGCTTTCGTGGGACTCTTGAGTGCTCTGATCCTCGGTAACAACGTCTTTTATCAAAGCTCAGACTGCAGGTTTTGTATGAGAAACACTTCTATTGTAGAATCGGTGGTTCTGTTCTAGAATTACGAGTCTTAATGTATGTTTCCTTGACTTAAAATACTAATTTCTGAGTGTTCTTTTCTGCTCATAAATGTGTCTGACTTCAGTTTGATTTGTTATCTTCATTACACAGGCCATAGTCCCTAAAGAGAATTCAGAAGAAAAATATATTAAGAGCATTTCTGTAATTTGTTCACTCCTACTTTCAAACTTTGATGTTCTTGGTGTATTTTTTGTAAGGCTCAAACACAGACACACTTGAATTTGCCAGAGTTCCATGGAGACAGTGCTAGACAATGGTGTGAATACAGTGGTGGCCATCTGTTTTAATTAACAGATATGGTAATTGAACATTTGTTTTACTACTTGGCTGGTTTACCACCCTTTACAGAGCAAGTAAAGGGATAAGTAAACTCTAATGTTTGCAGAGCAAGTGCTCTTACCTTTGGCATCTCATTAAAAAAAAATAAATCTGCAGGTATCTGATATTGGCATTTATTATTGTTTGCAATTCACAAATGGGTCTTTAACTCCATTATTGCCAGTGACATGCTTAACTCTTACTTGCTCGTGCCATTTATCTGCTTCTGCTAATATTCTGCATTCTTGGGCCAACTGGTGAATGCCTCTAAAGCAGACAGTAATGAGGAAGCATTGGATGAGTGGGAAGAAATTAGCAATGAGGAAACTGAAAATAACTTATTACGTAATGTTGCTTTTCACTGTAAGCGGTGGCCGCCACGTGAATGCTGTGATCATAAGCAGCCAGAAGCCTGTCATCCCCAACATGCCCTAGAGTTTTTTGTTTTTATCTTCACAAACTGAATCAATTTTTTTTCTTAGGGTTCTAGAAATACCAGCATCTCTTTTTATATTTGAAAAAACCTACCAGATAATGTAGGTTTCAATGCATGAGCTTTGAGTTGAGCTGTTAATAATTTTCTGTATTTTTGAGTTAGCAGCCTTGCATTATGGTAGGATGCTGTTTATTGCCGCATATCTGCTCATTTCGTGGTCAAACCTACCTACTTCAATATATCAGACATGCTGTCATTAACGTGAAGGTTACGCATGTAGACAGATAAGAGCAATTCAAAAATGTCTTTAGCATGCTGATCCTTAAGGTATTAGATGCAGCCGCTCTTTAGACTGCACCAATGAAAGGAAGAGTATAACATGGCCCAGGATACATCTTGTATACAGCCTGTGTTGACGATTAAAAAATACAAAGCTGTTCCTACCTATAAAAAATACTAAAACTGAAGTATTTAATCAGACTGGTATTTAATTAAATATTTAATATTATTTTGTCAAATTTGTACATCTGTAGTCATAAATTTAGTCTGCTATTGCGAGGCCCTTGTACTATCCATATTCCACAGAAGGAAAAACAGTTGGGGAACTGAACAGGCTACAGCACAGCCCCAGATCCCTATTGAAAATAACTTGGCTGTAGCGATTTACTAAGCCATGTAAATATGCCCATGTCCTGGGAGGCTTGAGGAGCCAGATTTGCATTTGAAGTCAGTCATGAGGCTTGTTGGTTTGGGTTTTTTTTCCTAGAAAAACTGCATCCAGTGCATCTCCAGTTGGTATGGGGGTGAGGTGGATTTTTTGTTGTTGTTTCTTTGCTTTTTAAACTAGTGGACTCAGGAAAAACTGAGTGTGAAATGTTTGAGCTTTGCTTGTGTTTTTTTTTTTTATTGAGATGTCTTAATTTGAGACTTTTACATTGCTGGAAAAGGGGTTAGGTCTTCATAGTAGATTCCCTGGTACAGTTTAACATGTAACATGTGCATCACCTCAAACTTGTTGACTTGGAAACTTTTGCTGTGGGAAATGGTGTACATCTTCAGTAACAATACCATTCTTTTAATTTCATATCTTTCTACTTTTTGTACTTGAAAACTGCTATATTTCTTCAGCCTGATATTGCCTAACCGTAGAAGGTTTTTTTTCTTTTAGTTGCTGTTTATTTGAATATGCTAGCCCACTTTATTTTAAAGTGTGTGTCGGTATCAAACAGTTAATCACACTTAGAAGTAAACCTTAACCAGATGTATAAGCTCCCTAGTAAGCATGTGTAGTTTTTCAGTACTTTACCTGTGTCTAGTTTAGTGGATGTTGCTAATTTAATAGAGGTGCGGTTTGTGATACAGTTAAAAACAAGTAACACAATAAAGCAAGAGAGCCAAAATTGTTCTTTTTTTTCCTTGAGAGATAACGTAATGTTTAAGTGAGCGAGTAGTGCTGAAAGATGCACGACCCCGCTAATTCTTGTATGTTGTGTTGCTGGATTAGCTATTATAAATCTCTACCTGCTCTTTCACAGGCTGCAGCTCAATCAGTTAGGTTGTATATCTTTTGTTGGGCACTGACATGAAGAAGAGGGGAAAACACCGATTTGCTACAGCTGTCTAATGGACAAAGCATTAGGTTGGGGCTTGGAGAATGGAGATTCCTTTCCCCGCTATCACAGATGTGCCAATTTGTCCAGCCCCTGCTCTTGGGGCTTAAACATCTCAGTTTTAAAAACATTGTGTAATGGTAGTGATCTCCTTAGGGGGCTACTCATGCAGGAATTGTAGGGCATGCAGGATTACTGTGTCTGTAGCATTTAGCACCCCAACTTCCCAACTTTCAGTTAAAAAAAAAAAAAGGGGGGGGGGGTGCGGGGGGCGAAGAATTTTGGACAAGGACGTTGTATCCTCCCTGAGTGAGAAGTCTTGACTGCCTCCAAACTTTTAACACTGAAGAGAGAGGAGCATGGAGGGGAAACACTAGGTAAGAGCTGCTAACAGATGTATCAGGTTACACGCGAGAGAGCTGTAAAAGGAAACTGTGGTCGAGACAAGAGAATAAATGGAGGTAAAGGATCATGGGAAGAAAACAAAAGTATTGAGCAAGATATAAAATGGTTCTGCATATTATGTTGGACAAGGAGTACTGCCCAGTGAACAAATTGTTCTTTGAAGAAGGATAGCACACAGCATAATGGAAAATTCCATTGAAAAACAATCTCAACTACTTCAAATGAGCAGGAGCATTTCATGCTGAGAATCTATACAGCCCACTGGCAAAGATGTTGGAATCAATTTAGTAAATATAAGCGGCTGATCAAAGCTTAGTATTCTTTACTATAAACAACCATGCTCAGAGGAAAGGAACACCTCGCAGCAGCTCTTCTCCTTTTCAGATACAAGAACACAGAGGAATTCGTACACTTGTTTTTAAAGATACTGGAAAAAATGCATCAACAATATTTCAGCTTCATGTCTTTATGAAGTTAATCCTGGCTTCCTATTGCAGATGATCTTTGGAGATATGGGAGTTTCTGCTGTGTGTGGCATAAGGAGTGCATCCTGGCCATCCCCACAGGATTAATATCAAGAGATTTTGGGGAGTTTGCAACAATACAGGCCAGAGACTGCCTGGGTAGGGAGCAGCTCAGCTCAAAGGGACCGAGGGGTCTTGGCAGACAGCAAGCTGAGCAGGAGCCAGCAGCTGGCCCTGGCAATAAAAAAAGCCAACAGCACCCTGGGCTGTATTAGCGGGAGTGCAGCCAGTAGATCGAGGAAAGTGATTACTTCCCTCTGCTCAGCATGTGTTAGACTGCCTCTGGAGCACTCTACAGTTTTAGGCCCCCAACATCAGAAAGATGTTGATAAACTACAAGTTTAGCAGAAGGCCACCACAATGGCATGGGCTCTGGAGCACCTCCTCCATGAGGAGAGGCTGAGGGAGCTAGGCTGGGAGACGAGGTGGCTTTTGGGACACCGAACAGCAGCTTGCACATACCTGCGGGGAGGTTATGGAGAAAACAGGGCCAGGCTCTTCACAGTGGTGCGTGGCAGAAGAATGATGGACAGTGGACAGAAACTGAAACAACAGAGGTTCAGACTAGTCACAAGGGAAAGCTTTTTCATTGTTAAGACAGTTACATTTTGGAACATGGTCCCCAGAGAAACTGGAAATCCTGGGAAGTTTTTCAAGATCTGACTGGATAAAGCCCTGAGCAACCTCATCTGACTTCACAGCTGACCCACCTTTGAGCAAGAGTTTGGACTAAACACCACCTGGCGGCCCTTCCAACCTGAATGATCCTATGGATACTAGACACATTAACGGTTTCAGAAAGAACCAAGAAAGTATCAAGAAATGTTGTTGTCCCCTTTCTAGAAAGGCGGATCTGGAGGACAGAAAACTTGAGGTGTCTGGTATCGGCCTCATTCTTATTGATGAGATTTTGTGAGGTTAGGTCTCTGCAGTGGGAGGCCATTGAGTTGACCTTACGTGTGGTGTGAAATTCCATGCTGTAGTGACCCAAGTTTCCAACAGGTGCCCTTGGAGAGCGTGATATGCAAAATCCACATCCTACACTTACAGAAAATTGATCTGTCAGATGATGCTGACTCACTATTAGACAAAGGCAGACTCCTCTAAAGAAAGAAATTGTATTTGTGTTTTATATAGCTTGTTATGTAGTCTTACATAAGAAATAATGAAAGTCCTATTTTCAGGCACCAAACCTGAGATTAGAGCAAAAGTTATTCTAGCTTTTTCTTTCAAATCTATGGAAGGAAGTTTGAATTGCTTTTATTGACTTAGGAACAAATTATTGATTGGCTGACAGGACCTTTTTACCTCTGACCCGTAGGACTATGTTCTAGCAACAAAGGGCACAGAAAACAAAGTGTGCAAACGAGGTGTTTTTTCACGCTTCAAATATGTCAGCCACTCCGCTTTACGTGTTTGCAATGAGCAGCATCCAGGGTGGAAATGATCTCCAGGAAGTTTTTGTCTGTTTCAGTGTAGTTAGTGTAAGACGCTTTGTAGGAGTGTAGCTTCACAATTACTACAAACTGTTTGTGTGTGCTTACATGCAGGTTTTATGTTTATTTTTGTTTCTTGGAAAGCTTTGTAGGAAACCTTGCTTGTTCATGGTAGCTTAACAAGCAGAACAGGAACTTTATAGTCTTGCTGCTGCTGTACCCAACCAGCATAGCCGAGTAGCTAAACACATTC